CCGGCCGGCCCGCGTCCTGTCTGCGGGGCGGTGCGGACAGCACACCAGAGAGACAGAGAGAGGGAGCTACGGTCCGGCTGCTAGCCGGGAGAAACAGAGCACAGAAGGAGCTGGGCAAGGAAGGAGAGGCGTTTCTCTGAAGGAGAGAAAGAGAGAAGGCCAAGTAGTTACACTCAAAAACGGAGAGGGAGAGAGCCGGTAGCTCAAGGCTGGTTTGGAGGTTTGGTGGTCAGCGGGGCGCCGGGGGCGAGGGGGGGGAAGGTTACCTTCAGCCTCGATGGAGGAGAGGAGGGCGGCTGCACACAGAGCAGCGACTGCCGAGCACAGTGCTGTCTTCATTTCTGCCCTTTCGGATCACAACAACATGAATGAATCTGCAGTGATGGGGGGAAGGGGGGAAAGGGAGAAAGGAGAAGGAAATGATACGCGTGGATTAGAGGATTGCGTGGGTGTATTCATGAAACACAAAAAAGACGAACCGCGGATTCCACTTTGTTCCCTTATCCCCAGCCCCCACCCACAGGACCAGGTTGAAACCTCCAGACTTGAAAGCCGTCCAAGATGATGACAGATCTGCATGACTAAGTGGAGAGTCTCGCCTTGCAATAATGTGCCTTTTCTTGCTGAACCCTTTCCAATCACGGTAAGCACATGCAGCTTTAACCTAGTTGGGGTTAATCTGATCAGGGAAGCGCGGCGAAGAACCGTGCCTCCGCACGGGCAGGAGCCAGGAGGGAGCTCCATGACCTCATCGCCGAGTGTGATGATAGCTAATTCAGAGGTCATTCCTGCCTTGGATCAGCTAAATGTCTCTTTCAGCTGGGGATTTTACTCGGCTCCTTTTTCATAACTGTTGAAGCACTTAGTTAGCTGTGTTTTAGTGGTCTCAAGGCAGTTTGGAAACTGTAATAAAACTTTTTTTGAGGGGTTCTGCCTACGAATGTGCTGTTCTTCATTTCTTGAAGGTCTGAAATAGATTATACAGAAGTGTGCGTAACACACAACTGAAACCTGACGCATCTGTCTAGCCATGATGTTTCAACATCTGATAATTCATTTACATCTCCTGACAGAAAATAGATTTAAAATTCACTATAAAAAGCAGGCAGACAAAAGTGTCTCACAATCACTGCAGGTTGTCTAGCAAAATAGGTGGGATTAGGCCAAGTTAGAGGTTCCTAGTTGCAAGCAGCTATACCTGCACAACTATATCCTCTAGGTCACATCATGTTAGTCCCAATTACTCCAGCAAAACTTCCGAATTATTTCCTCGTCTAAGTAAAGGCTAATATCCTCATCACATATGCATGTGTTTCTAAAGTTTGGTTTTTTCTAGCTCAGGAAGTAGGGGAGAGGGAATTTGCTTGAATAAAGTCATAAATGCATCATATATCATAATCAGGGTGGAGGAAAGAGAATTCCAAAAGCAATTAGGCAACAGATTTTATCGGGAAGGTGCCAAGAGCAAAACAAAAGAAAAATACATAAATCATTAGTCCACAGAAACCCCTGAAGGGGAAAACATTCTTCTGCCATCTAGAGAACTAACCAGCAAGGCACATTTAGTGGGTAGACGCTATGGAGATCCAGGAACTTCCCAGTTACTGACACTGAACTGAACAGGCTTCTGCCGGGCAGCTGTACACACTCGCCTTAGCCGAATGCCTCCACTGCACATAAAAATACCAAGGGCTCAAAGAAACACTAAGCAGTGGTTTCAGCCCAGTGGTACCTCCAGCAGGCAAACGGAAGAGAAATACTGACCGCAACGACTCCCTGACACCACCACCACAAAGAACAAGGTTAGCATCGAATTGTCCTGAAAGCTCCAAAATCGTATTGCTGCTCTGCGTAGGAAATGGCCATCCCTGAGCCCACCTACTGTATCCTGAGGCGAGTTTAAGGATCGCCTAAACTCGACGTAAACGGACTTTCGTCCCAGAAATCTTGTGCGGGCTTCGAGTGCCATCTTTTGATCCTTTTGAAGAGCGACAGAAATCGGTATCTCACAAAGGCATCTCTAGGAGTTCACTGCTGCTGCAGGTCTACTATTCCTGACACGTTTTTTTCCCCATGAAATAAAACGTCTCAGCCAAAGCATTCATTTGCCCACCTAGAAGCACTTCGCTTCTCTCTCGCAAACTGGGGCGCGTGAAAGGGGACCTGGAGCGGCTGGAGGAACGGTCCCCTCGCTGCCTCAGCGGGGACACCAGCAGACTTTGCGTCTCGACTAAAGGTTTCCTCGTTGATCTTTTCAGAGATGGCTTTAAGAAAGACGGGCTTGCACTCAGTGCCAACTTCGCACTAATTCGACCCACAAAAGCTTAGCCGAAGCATTCCCAAACCGCGCAGCGCCCGA